ATCACTTTGCGCCTTAGTTAAATGGCATGCTTCTGGAGAGAAATCTGGAAAAGTCAAAGTTATTTATGCTCCCTCTCGCAATAGTTAATAGGATATGTTAAAAAAAAAAAAAAAGAAAAGAAAAGAAAAGAAAAAAGAAAGAACGAATGACAATATCTGGTTAAAACTACAGGGGGGATTCCAGGAGAAGAATGCAGTACATCTGGACAGGACATGAAGGCCTGTGGCTTATTGTTTACAAAAAGAGGCCTGGATTATGAACAGTGACAAGAGGCCAAGACCTCAATTATACCTCACTACCACACCTCTCTCAATCCCAGTTCAACTGAAGCTATCAATCAGCCAACTCCCCCATCTTCTGTAATAAACCCACCAATATTTGCAGCCAAGTGGATAGAGGGTCTCTCAGGGTACCTCCAGCATTGACCAAGTTGATGACATTAGAAAGATACCACAGGCACAATGGGGACTTCAAACTACCTTCCAACCTTCCAACCTTCCAAGAGATAAGGCAGCTGCCCATTTCAAACTCTATTCCTACCCCCACCCCAGGCAATCATTAGAGGGGAGACATGGCTCTTCCCAAGTCCTCATGATAGGAAAAAGTCTCCTTGCATTGGTGCAGGGAAAGGAGGGGCCCCTCCCTCTGTTCTCTGAAACAAAGGAAAACCCAGAGCTCCAACCATGTGGTGTAACATTCAAGGCCACCCACCTCTCCCACTCCCCAGCTGAGGTCTCAATGGACTAGAGCCACATGGCTCTTCCCAGTCACTGACCAGGAAGGAACAGTGCCTAGGCACAAACACATGCTGGGGCTCTTAAACAGGAGGGAACCTCTCCTATGGGAATTGCTGGTTAAAAAAGGGCTATCTGGGGAAGGTGCTCTGATTCCCACGCCAAATCAGGCAGTCGACTAGATGTACACACAGGTCCCCTGGTTTCTCCATATCCACAATTTGCTTTACCCTTCACATTTTTGCAGAGAGGTAAGTGGGCCATTCAAAGCATGTATTCTGGAGCAGAGGTTGACAATGCAGAAGGATTAAACAATTACGTCTTCCCATCCTTCAGAATCAGCACCACCCAGCAACCCTAACATCTCAACTCCATTCAGGTTTAGGTGAGGGTGGAGAACGGGTGTGTGTGACCTTATTATTTCTGTTCTCTGATCCCTGGCTGAATGTAGAGTGACTAGAAACCAGGCAGGTACAAGGTGCATCCAAGGTGGCTCCAGACTTTCTTAGTCTGATGCCATAGCAAATGTAATGTTTGGATACAGTGCATCAGAAAAAACCCCGCCTCTTCCACAGCTCTCCAAAAGGTACGCCTTCTCAAGGTTGCCTTTCTCTGCCTGGACTCCTCTTCAGCCTCTGGAATAAATTCCCTAACACCTGTCAGATTTCAGCTGTCCTTCAAGGAAACCTGACCCAGACAACCAGGAGCAAATTGTGGCCTTTCTCTCTCCAAGAACCTCCTGCCCCTCCCCCCACCCTACCCAGCCTGGGGGCAAGGGCTGACAAAATAATGGCCAGCCCTACAGGGACAAACCCTTAAGCCCACTCCTAAGATCTCTTTCCCGAGTCTGTAGCCCCTGGCACAGTCCACCCCTCAGAGGCTCCGACCCACCTATGAAACCACCTCTGGGGTCAGCCTGCCCCCACATGCTCCACCCAAAGAAATGAACCGCCTTGCAAATCAGGGTGGAAATACATGCCTCAATGGTCCACAGATCATATGCATTATGCTATTTTTCCAAGCGCTTACCTTTGACCTGAGTATCGTACTCTGCTATGATCTCCTTATCCTTTTTGAATTTGGCTGGAGACGTCATGTTTTCCTTCTTTCTTCCAAATTCGAAATGTGAATTGATAGATCCACGGGAAAAATCCAACCACCGAAATCAATACCTCCAAGACCGTTTCTCCCAAGGGCAGAAGGGGCCCCCCACGGTGGTCTCCAGCGCTCCGGGGAGCGCGGGCTGCGGGAAGGGCAGGCGGCTAGCACCGGCACATGCAGACGGTGGACGCTGGGGCCGGGCGCGGCGGCGGCTGTATCCTGTGTTAGAGCCCGAGCCGCAGGCTCAGCATTAGCCGGGAGAACTGCAGCGCCCGGAGGCTGGCCTGGGGTCTGACATCAACGACACAGGCGGGGAGTGCAAGTCCTTCCGCACAACATGGTGTGGGGGTGCGGGGGTGTGGACGCACCCAGCTGTGTGCCCGGGAGGGAGTGGGTGCGTATCGGGGTGCCGGGGGAGGGCTGGGCGTGCTTCGCGGTTTTTTGTTGCACAGGCTCGAAGATGCTGCAAATCAAATCCCAAACGGGAGCCGCAGCAGCGCGGACTGGATCGGAAGTCGTTTGCTCCGGTTCACTTGCCTGTAAATGCAGGGAAAAGGGGAGGGGGCTATCAGCCTCCGCGCAGATCCTAATCGCATCGGGGGTGGGGTAGGGTACGACGTACCCAGCTCGGCCCCGGCCCATTCATCTCTTCCAAACGCCGCCTGGCCGGGAGAGTAAGGCGCGGCGAGGTGGGGAGGAAGGAAGCTCCCTCCGGATTTTGTTTTAAGGCTGAAAGAAAACACTTCGGAGCAGCCGCCTGCGCTGGCTTCGGGTGGGGACTGCAGCGGGAACGCCGGGCTCCAGGCGGGGACTGCGGCACCTCAACGGCCTCCCGAACCCTGCCAGCGCTAGGCAATGGCCAGCCCGAGGGAGCCCTCTCTGCCCTGCCTCCGACGCAGCCCCTGACCCCCGGTGGGGGAACTCCCTGGACATCAAAGGGATCAAAGCCAGGGAGGGACAAGCCACCCGGGCACAACTTTTCTTCCCCTCCCGCCCCTCCTCCCCGTTGTTTTGTTTTTGGTTACTAGCTTCTCTTGGCAGCAAAATGTTGGCGGGGGGAGATCTGCAGGAAAAAGCCTGCTCGGCACGGGACACATCCAGGAAAACAATGTGGTCGGCAGAAGCAGGAAACGGGTTAGAGGCGAGGGTCGGAGTCGGGAAAACTGGGAGGCGGGGGGCGGAAGGCAGCAGTCGCCTGGCCCAAACCAGGGAGGAGAGTAAACTCTAAATGCTACCCCCAATATTTTTTGTCACCCAAGCCTAGAGACCCCAGATACTGCACCCAATCACAGGCTGGGGGTGGGGAAAGTTCAGGCGGTTGATGAGGGTCGCAGTCCCGACTCTTCGCACCAGGAGGTGCCGGAAGAGATCCCGCCCTGGCCCAGGCCCGGGAAGCGGGCGCGAGCGCATTGCTCCCCAGCGTGCCGCAGCAGCCACCCTCCCTCCTTAGTCGCCCCTTTTCCTCTCTGCGCCGAGAAGAGGCGCCTCCGCCGGTGTATCCCACTTCCCGCGCCCAGAGAAAGGGCCGCACGGAGCAAGGAAGACCGAGCACAGGCGGGCAGGAAGCGGGGAGGGGGTAAGAGGTGGGGTCCTAAGGCTGCACGGGGGCCGGAGATAATTAGAGCTGTCGCACACGCTTGGAAGACCGGGAGAGGGCAAGTATACCTTGAGGGTGAGGGGGGAGTTAGGAGACTACCGTGGGCCGCGATGTTACATGAAGCGCAGGGATGTTAGCAACTTTGGGGATCCACTTAGGTCTGGGAACGCAAGCTCGAAGAGGAGCCATTCGGGGCGGCCCGGGGGCTGGGACCGGGAAAGAGCCCCGGAAGCAGTGCGGAACACCCATACTTCTGCCAGGGCTTGGAGACAGGAGTAGAGGGCAGCCGATGGTTACGGGTGATGCCAACGACGGCTGCCCCAAGGTGGACCAAGGCTGCTCGTGTGCAGAGGACTTGGGGAGGGGGCTGGGTGCGGGC